CTATCAAGTATAGAGAATGCCCAAAGAGAAGCAATATCCATAATACATATTTTAAAAATTAAAAAAAATTGAAAATTTAAAAATAGGGCTATAGAACTGAACAGAGAGTGCTCAATAGCAGAAATAAAAAATAGCAAAAAAAAAATCCACCCCTCAAACATGCTCATTATCCTTAGCAATTACGGAAATACAAATTAAAATAACATTGAGATTTCATCTCACCCAGTCTGAATGGCAAAGATCCACAAAACAACCACAACAAATGCTGGTGAGGATATGGGGAAAGGGGAACCCTCATTCACTATTGGAATTGCAAACTGGTGCAACCACTCTGAAAATTGTGTGGAGAATTCTCAAAGAACTAAAAGTAGTCAGGTGGTTGTGGCACATGCCTTTAATCCCAGCACTCAGGAGGCAGGGATGGGTAGATCTCTGTGAGCTCAAGGCCAGCCTGGTCTACAGAGCGAGATCCAGGACAGGCTCCAAAGCTACAGAGAAACCCTTCTCAAAAAACAAAAGAAATAAAAATCTAAAAGTAGACTACCATATGACCTACCTAGCACTTCTTGTAATATACCCAAAGGCTTCCTCATCATAATCTACAATAACCATTACTGTTCTATTCACAATACCTAAGAAATAAAAACAACCTACAAGTCCTTCCACTGAGGAATAGAGAATGAAAATGTGGTATACATGATAAAATATTATTCAGATGTAAAGAAAAATAAAATCATGAACGTTGCTGATAAATGGATGAAAATAGAAAATATTATATTGAGTGGGGTAACTCAGACCCTAACCCTAAATCTCCAGAAGTGAGTATATAACCTGAAATAACTACAAATGCCAGAGAAGCAAAAAGAGAAGCTGGCAGGGGATGGGTTGGGCAGGAGCACTAGACAAGGGAATTGTAGGACACAGTTGTTCTAAGAGGGATAATGAGTAGGAGAGACTTACCTAAGGAGGAAAGAGGAATGGTAACACAAAGGGAAGGGGAAGGAAGAGGGACAAATAACACTAAAGATGTTTAGAAAAGCCGTAGAGGAATCATTTTTAATAGCTCCTTAAAATTAGATGAGTGAGTGAGTGAGTGAGTGAGTGAGTGAGTGAGTGAGTGTGTGTGTGTACATACACAAAGAGAAATACATCAATTGGGGTAACAATGCTCCCCCTAAAAGAACATAAACTACCTAATAAAAACCCAGTGCCAGGCATATGAAACCTACTTGCAAGTTGTTGGTTAGAGGAGTCCAAGACACTCTCCCAAAACAATATAGGCCATTGCTGTTGCCTTTGGTACCTTTCAGACTAGAAGATAAGACCTGATTGCTGAAGACAGCACACACCTCAGACACAGAATTTGAAGGAATTGATCTGGATCTTCCCTGGAAGATTCCTCACTGAGGATTACTCCTCATAGTTTCAGAAGGAGCCATGCAAGCTGCCAATGGAGGGAAGCAATCAAGTCCTATCCAGCTATAATGCCAATGAATAAACAACAATGGCTAGCATGGCAAGATATCCTGAAAGGTACACTGTGGCACTTACATCAGTAACCAACAGTCATCTGATTGGATTTAAGGTCCACCTAATGGGAGGGAATTCATACCTGGCACCATTCATTTAGCCAGCTACCTATGGCTGGTCAGACCAGGGTACCTAGTGAACTTGCTCCCACGACTAAACTAGCATAATCTGTAACTGTGTTCTAAATACTCATCCTTACATTCAGAGGTAAGTATTGCTCTCATCCATCATCAAATAAGCTTATTCTTGCAGTAGATGAAGAATATTATAGAAAGTCACAACTGGCCAAAATGTAAAAATAAACTGGTAGTAGGGTCTCTGCCTCCAATCAATACATTAGAACACAACCCCTAACCCTTACGGCTCTAGGGACATCACAGAAAAGGGGACATAAATATTGTTAAGAGTCAGGACAGCTGATGTGAGATAGTCTTTTCTTTAAAAAAAAAAACAGGGGTGGGGGAGAGATGGGGGTGAGTCTGGGAGGAGTTAAGGGAAGGAGTGGGAAGAATATGATCAAGACACATTGTACCAAATTCTCTAAGAATTAATAAAATACTACTTTTATTTATTTTAACTTTTCTTTATTTATTTTTCCTATTAAAATTTTTCATTCATTTTTACACACCAAAGATCCCCCTCTTCCCTTCTCCCCCCCCCAGCCTCCCCCTCCCAATCTACCTTCCACTCCCCTCCCCACAAGGAGGTAAGGGCCTCCCATGGGGAGGCACATCCGGTAGAGGCAAGTTCAAGCCCTTCCCCCTGCCTCAAGGCTGCACGAGGTGTCCAATCATAGGTAGTGGGCTTCAAAAAGCCTGCTCATGCACCAGGGATGGATTCTGATCCTACCACCAGGGCCCCCCCCAAGCAGATCAAGCTACATAACTGTCAGGCCATGCAGAGGGTCTATCTAGTCCAATCCCATGTAGGCTCCACAGTCATTGATCCAACTTTCATGAGTTCCCACTAGTTTGGTTTGGTCGTCTCTGCAGGCTTCCCCATCATGATCCTGATGCACTTGCTCATGGATTCCCTCTTCTCTCTCTTTGACTGGACTTCCGGAGCTCTGCCTGGTGTTTAATTGTGGATCTCTGCATCTGCTTCCATCGGTCACTGGAGAAAAGCTCTGTGATGCAACTTCCCTAGCACCAGGTTTCTCTATCCCCATGATATCTCTCTCCCTCTATCATGTTATCTCTTTCATTACTTTCCTACTTCATCCCTGTTCCAGCTCAACCTTCCCATTCCCTTATGTTCTCATCCCCTATCCCCTACCCTCCATTGCCCACCCCTCATCCCCAATTTACTCATGGAGATCTTATCTATTTCACCTTCCCTGGGTGATCCATGAATCCATCTTTGGGTCTTCCTTGTTAGCTAGCTTCTCTGGAGTTGTGGGTTGTTGTCTGGTTATCCTTTGCTTTATGTCTAGTATCCACTTATGAGTGAGTACATGCCATGTTTGTCCTTCTGAGTCTTGGTTACCTCACTCAGGATGATATTTTCTATTTCCATCCATTTGCCTGCAAACCTCATGATGTCATTGTTTTTTACAGCTGAATAGTATTCCACTGTGTATATGTGCCACATTTTCTTTATCCATTCTTCAGTTGAGGGGCATCTAGGTTGTTTCCAGGTTCTGGCTACTACAAATAATGCTGCTATGAACATAGTTGAGCATGTGCCCTTGTGGTATGGTTGAGCATTCCTTGGGCATATGCCCAAGAGTGGTATAGCTGGGTCTTGAGGAAGACTGATTCCCAATTTTCTGAGAAACAACTACACTGATTTACAAAGTGGCTATACAAGTTTGCACCCCCACCAGCAGTGGAGGAGTGTTCCCCTTGTTCCACATCCTCTCCAACATAAGCTGTTTGCAGTGCTTTTTATATTAGCCATTCTGACAGGTGTAAGATGGTATCTCAGAGTTGTTTTGATTTGCATCTCCCTGATGACTAAGGATGCTGAGCAATTTCTTAAATATCTTTTGGCCATTTGAAATTCTTCCTTTGAGAATTCTTTGTTTAGCTCTATAGACCATTTTTTTTTTTTTTTTTTTTTTTTTTTTTTAGGTTTTTCGAGACAGGGTTTCTCTGTGTAGTTTTGCGCCTTTCCTGGGACTCACTTGGTAGCCCAGGCTGGCCTCGAACTCACAGAGATCCACCTGGCTCTGCCTCCCGAGTGCTGGGATTAAAGGCGTGCGCCACCACCGCCCGGCGATAGACCATTTTTTAATTGTAATTGTTCATTACTTTGATGTCTAGTTTCTCGAGTTCTTTATATATTTTGGAGATCAGCACTCTGTCAGATGTGGGGTTGGTAAAAATCTTTTCCCATTCTGTAGGCTGTCATTTTGTCTTATTTACTGTGTCCTTTGCCTTACAGAAGCTTCTCAGTTTCAGGAGGTCCCATTTATTAATTGTTGCTCTCAGTGTCTGTGCTACTGGTGTTATATTTAGGAAATGGTCTCCTGTGCCAATGTGTTCAAGACTATTTCCTACTTTCTCTTCTATCAGGTTCAGTGTAACTTGTTTTATATTGAGGTCTTTAATCCACTTGGACTTGAATTTTGTGCATGGTGATAGATATGGATCTATTTGCAGCCTTCTACATGTTGACATCCAGTTATGTCAGCACCATTTGTTGAAGACGCTTTCTTTTTTCCACTGTACAGTTCTGGCTTCTTTATCAAAAATCAGGTGTTCATAGGTGTGTGGATTGTTAGGGTCCTCAATTCAATTCCATTGGTCCACATGTCAGTTTTTATGTCAATACTAAGCTATTTTCATTACTATAGCTCTATAGTAGAGCTTGATGTCAGGGATGGTGATGCCTTCAGAGGTGGCTTTGTTATGCAGGATTCTTTTAGCTATCCTGAGTTTTCTGTTTTTCCAAATGAAGTTGAATATTGTTCTTTCCATGTCTGTGAAGAATTGTGTTGGGATTTTGATGGGGATTACACTGAATCTGTAGAATGCTTTTGATAAGATTGCCATTTTTACTATGTTAATCCTACCTATCCATGAGCTCGGGAGATCTTTCCATTTTCTGATAACTTCTTCAATTTCTTTCTTCAGACTTAAAGTTCTTGTCATAGAGGTCTTTCACTTGCTTAGTCAATAATAAAATACCCCAAGGTATTTTATATTATTTGTGGCTATTGTAAAGAGTGATGCTTTACGAGGAAAAAAATAAAGCATGACAGACATTTGGGGAGGGAATGAATCAAGGAAAATGAAGAAAGAAAATGGATATAACTATAAAGCAAAATAGTGTAAATGTGGTAAGGAAGAAAGTGAACATTTCTAAAAGAGCATGAAAATACAAGCTTATGTGCTGGTGTTATATTATTGAGCATGGACTGACATTTTTATTCTTTGAGCTTCCAATTTTATGACCAAAGTTCTCCACATTCACTGGAAGATTTGGGAAATTTTATTTTAGAATATTCACCAACAGATAAAACTTACTGGCTCCACAATATTGAACTTCTTGGATTCTTGAACTTCCTGGATTTGATAGACATAATCAAGAGAGGACTCAAAGAAATTGTGCCTTTCCTTATCCACTTGGAGGTCTGCCTGTAGAAAGAGGGCAACAAATGTCATATGTGGCATGGTCATTTTGAAATCTCAGGAATGATCGAATCAATAAAATTCTACAGCTAAAGAGGCATTGAGTCACCTGCATATATCCTATTTCTATTGTTTTCTTTAATTCTATTTTACTTTATTTTACAGAGAGGGAATATGAAACCAGGAGATTAAAAACTGGGCTTTCTATTTCTAGTCTAGCATGGAGGAACCTTGAGAGTTACAAAACTGATTTTCAGATCAGGGAAAACACTGGACACGTTGGAAAACCTTTCTTCTCAAATCCAACAGAAAATTAAAGTCATGGGGATAAGTGCCGCTGCAAAAACTGGACTAGAGGTGAATGGAGAGAATCGGAATTCCATTGGCACAGACACTGGAAGTGAAAGGTGCTCAATGCTAGGGGATCACCACATTCACGGAAGAACTACTATCCAATTCAAGAATAAATTGCTAAGAAAAGACAAAGCAAGGGCTGCAAAGGAACTACAGCAACAGCGAACTAAGACCAACTTAAGTCCTATCCAAATATGCATGAAAGCTCACACTAAGCACTTACTTCAGTTTCTTTATCCAAACATCCTGTCTGCCTTTTAAGCAGAAAAGCAAAAAGGCACAAAAAAATCAGAAGCAAGAGAACAAGCATCAGAAACTAACGAAGAGAAGGCGGAGGCTGCAGAATGATGAGACCATGGATTGTAAGCAACTATGGTAAAATGGAAAGGGTTCAATATTGCATGTCATTGGGACATTTCAAATGACAACAGAAATGTGATACCACTGCACACCTATTAGAGTGGCTAACAGTAAAAACACTGACAACAGCAAATGCTGATAAGAACATCAAGCAAAAGAAAGTTTTAGAGCTAGTCGGAAAGAAAAATGGTACATGTTGGAAAATAGCAGATTCTTAAAAAATAAATCATCTGCTTACAATGCAACCCAACTTTTGTACTCTATAGCATTTACCAAAACAATCTCAACAAAATCTACACATGAACATTTACCATGGCCATATTAATAACTGCCAAAATTCAGAAGAAAAAATATCCTTCCATAGAATATAAGATACATATGTGGTACAACCAGACAACAGCCCTGAAAAGACATGAGTTAGCTATCAAGTCATAAAAATATAGGAATAATAGACACATAGTGCTAAATAAATCAATATGAAAGGCTCCATGCTGTAGGATTCCAACAACATGACATTATAGAAAAGACAAAAATATGAAGATCAGTGGCTGCCAGGGATTTGAGATGAACAAGCGTGGAGACAAGAGAATTGTAGAACAGTGAAGCTAATCTCCATGATACTACACTGGACACGTGTCATTATACACTTGTCAAATCCCACAGAATGGGGCTAAAAGAGGAGTAATTCAGTATCACAGTTCCTGCCTAGCATGTGCAAGGTTCCAAACCCAACAAAGTAAAAACAAACAATCCATATCCCACAGAACATAACACCCATTTGCTCACCAGTTGTAATAAATAAGCCCAGGATCTTAATAATAGTGAAAATGTGTGTCAGGGATCCAATACTTCATCTCTGTACTTTCTACAGAGTTCAGTAGAACAGTTCTACTCTGTTCTTCCATTTTTTTCTTTAAGTTACATGAAAGCTGTCTCATTTGTTATAACCACATGTGAATTTATAATCATCAAATAAAAGTGAAAGGAAAGAAACGTGTCTGGGTTATAGCCCAGTACACACTCCTCCTTGCCCTGTCTTCCCTCCCCCGAAAAAAGCCTAGACCTACCCTACACAGTGTCTCTTGACATCTTTCACACTATTCTGAGATGAGGCAATGTAACAATAAAACAGAAAAGTGATTTAGCAATGACATGATTCTTTCCTTGTTTCCTTTTGGGGCACAGGGTTTTATGTATCCTAGGCTGGCCCTACACTCTCTCTATAGCCATGGATGGCCTTGAACTCCTGAGCTACAATTGCAGCCTTCTCTCTCTCTCTCTCTCTCTCTCTCTCTCTCTCTCTCTCTCTCTCTCTTCCTCCATGTCTTCAATTCTTTTTTTTTCTTCATTTCTGAGACAGAGTCTCACTATATAGAATTGATTATGTAACTCAGGCTGCCCTCAAACTCACAGCAATCCTCCTGCCTCAGCCTCTTGAGTGTTGAGATTATAACAATTACCTACTACACCCAGCTTTAAAATAGCTTCAAAAAATAAAACCTCTTCATTTAATAAAAGTGACTCAATTTCCCTTACTTCATTTTAATAAACAGAACAATGACTGCAGTCCAGCTCATCAGAAATGTCAACAAAGGCTGGGTATGCTGGCTCATGCCTACAATCCCAGCACTTAGGAGGCAGACACAGGGAGACTTCTGAGAATATGGGGACATTCTGGGTGAGACCCTGTTTTAAAACATCAAAAGCCCCCACAAAGTGCAAACAAGGACATCTACATAGTGCACAAAACCACTAAAATACTCTAGATGCCTTCATAGCAAAACCACCAACATATGGACTGTATCCCCATGGGTCCCTATGACTATCCTCAGATTTGGTAGTCACTGAGAGGACTCACAGGACTGGGGATTCAACATATAGTCATAATCCCAGATAGCATTTATTTCAGTGAAAGGGTACAAAGAAAAGTCACCAAAGAGGAAAGGTGTGAGAGATCCAGTCTAGAAGAAACTTTATGTAAGTTACTAAGGGACTCTGTAGCAGTTTTGCAAAGGGTACATGAAATTCCTCTTTCGATAAGCTCTAACAATAGAGTAAAAAGAGCTGCCAGAGACGGTGCTCTCAAAACTGATAATAGCCCTAGGTTTCCATTGGGCCTGGTAACATAGGCACTCCCTGCCTAACATGAGTTATAATTCTAGACTGTCTGGGGAACAGGTATTTGAGAAAAGCCACACTGTCTGCATATGCAGCTTTGCACAGAGAGCCACTATTAAAATAGCCTCTCTAAAATTTCCCTCACCCTCCTTCTGTTTAGACATCATCACTTTGGAAATTATCCCGGTGCTCTCCTTACCTGCTACAGATAATAAATATTTCTCCATGCTTTGATGTCTTGGCCATGTTTTTCTTTTCTCTTTCTTTCTTCCTTCCTTCCTCCTCTTTTTTTTCTGTTGTTGTACTAGTCAAGATGTGAGCCCACTGCATTTGACTACACTATCTTGTCTTTCACTAGTCTTTTAGAGTAACATCAATTCTGAACAAGTAACTTGTCAAGAGTCTCTCATGCCTTTCAGCCTTGAGGGGACTAGCTTTGGTCTAGGGCAATTTCTCCATTTCTATTTGTTATACATTTTATCTTTTTTAAAATGATTATCCAAATTGGAAAGGCACCTTTCTATCACAGAGAAGATTCCTCATCCAGGCTTATGTCTTCACCTTCTCATTCCCTAGGTCCCTCAAGACTATTAATAAACAAACATTTTACAGTACAGAAAGGAGCCTCACTGCTATGAGATTAATGAACATTCTTAACTTAGAATCCTAGCTATAAGGTGTAGAATGACAAGGACATTGTATTCGTGTCCCTGTAGTCATGTTCTACCCAATGTAAAGATGATTTGGTAGATATCTAGTAGACAGTGGCTTGGGAGAATCGTAGCCACTGTAAGTCTCATAGAAGCAGCAGCTGGGGTGCAGCATTTCCTTCCTCCACCAAAGCAGGCAATGGGATACCACAAAGGGAAAATATCTGCTCCTTCTATACCAAATCCAATACTAGTGGAAATCTATCCAAACATAGAATCTAGAATCACAGACTTAGGAACTTGGAATTGAAAGTGACACTGGAGATACTTGATTATGACTCTTTCACACAGTGGGACTGGCGCCAAGAATAAAGTTCCTTAACAGGGGAAGTTAGTGGAGGAACTGGCTCGAGACTCAGGGAGCCTGGGGCCTAAGTCTCAGGTACTCCCTGTAAATGTTTCCATTGCTCCTGCTGAGCCATTTTATGGAGAAAGCTCACAAGCAGAAATGACTGTGGTTTCTAAGGCACAGCACAAGACGGAGTCAGGGATAGACATGGGTAAACAACGTACCTCTAGCAACTGAGACTCTTTCTTTTTGGATGACAGATGTAAGTGCCGGTCCAGTAATGAGTAAAACCTCTCACCATCCTTTTCAAATTTCTTCTTCCTCTCCTAGACATGGAACAGAAGCTTTGCATTAAACTTCTATGGCTTAATACCATGGACTCAGAAATGAGAAGGGAAGATTCAGGTTTCCTGTGGTCAGTTCCTGCAGCTCCTGGGAAGGAAAGAAAAACTACAGCCAGTGAAGAATGTGCTCCTTTGCACTGATCAAGACTGTTTTGATTTCCTCAACTATAACCCCAAGTCATTCTACCTGCAAAAAAGGCAGTTCCTACTGGTAGAGCCGAAGCCTCTGTAAACTCCAAAAATGGCACTGGGCGGGGGGTTCTCTGTTGTTGAACACCCTTTCTTCCCTTCACATATAGTTATCATTTATTTGATCTTTCAAAGAGAAAAAAGGAACACAAACGTGAAGTAAATATAGCCAGGAAAGGTTAATCTGTATGAATCTGAATGACTTCAAACAGTCTCCATTCCAAGACAATAGGAATCAAGGACTACTTCTTTGAATAAATTATTTGGTGTTATTTAAGTGTTTACTGCTGCATATTAAAAGCTGATGGAGAGAAATCCAGGAAGATTTAGATAGGAAACAAGAATTCACAGCTAGCTTTACGGAGGGGGTGGAGGACTCAGCCTTCACTCTCCTTGGGGATGAAATGTAATTAACTTCTCTGCTGTTCAGTACAAGTATCAGTCACAGAGCTTCTAAAGAAACGCTGACAGTACACATTTGTCACAGACTCATTGTCATGATTTTTTTTCTCAGCTTAACAGGAGCTCAAGTTATTTGGGAAGAGGATCCTCAGTTGAGAAAATGCCTCCATCAGATTGCCTGTAGACATGTCTGTGTGGCATTTTCTTGATTAACGGTTGATGTGGGATGGCTTAGCTTACTCAACAGTGGGTGCCACCCATGGGTAAGTGGTCCTGGGATGTATAAGAAAGCAGGTGGAACAAGCCATGAGGAGAAAGCCAGTTAAAGGCACTCCTTCATGGCTTTTACTTCAGTCCCTGCCTCCGGGTTCAGCCTTGAGTTCCACCCTGGCTTCCCTGAGTGATGCACTGTGATATGGAAGCCAAAGAAACGCTTCCATCCCCAAGTTGCTTTTTTCTCATGGTGTTTTATGACAGCAATAGAAACCTAACTAAGGCAGAGACTGGTACCAGAGAGTGGAGCACGACTGAGCCAGACACCTCACCGTGTTTTGGGAGGGCTATGTAAGGACTTTGGGGATGTTGGGCTAGAAAAGCCACTAAGTATTCATGCTTGATGAACTATTAAGGTAATTTAGAAGAAAATGCTGACAGCACTGCAGATGATAGAGGCCCTCTAAGACTCTTTTCACCATGTTGACTTTGAATGATGTGGTACCAATAAAAAAAAGCATTTCATGCTGGTAAGAATTCCTTTTTTAAGGTAGACTGTGGGTGAATTTTAAGACTTTCAAATAACTGCTAGGATAAAAATTAAACTAAATTTGAATTTACAGATTAATTTGAATTGAATTAACATCTGTAAAATAATAAGGCAAAACATTTGCAAGCATAAAATATCACACATGTTTTAAAGTATTTATTATTAATATAAAATGTGCCACTACTTATATTGGCTAAATATGGCAAATATAGAAAACAATATTGATTTTCATAAATGACTTATAATTGTCATGCTGTCTAAATTTCATATAAGGCTTGTGCTAATAATGATAATATTTTTGCATTAAGTGGTTAAATCATCTGCAAAGTCTGGCAGTTTATATTCTCATATTGACACATTACTAAATTCCCATTCCTACAGCACCAGTTGAGGCCCTGCAGAATCTGGTTAAACAGCACTATGGGAATGGGTACCCTTATCTTCTTCCTCACGTAAGAGAATATATTTAAAGTTTCTCCACAAACTAATGGTGACTTTAGGTTTTTATCATGCAATCATTACTGAACTAATGAATTCATCTTCAGTTCCAGATTTACTAAGATAAATATATGATTTATTTTCTTTACATGAATAATGAAGGGAAGCCACTGCTTCGTTTCCAAGGCTGATTTTGAGGGAAGGGTCTGAGATAAGCACTACTTGGTTATGATGTATTTTTTAAGATTTATTTTTAATATTTTTTTTTAATTTTGTATGTGTATGGGGGAAGTATGTGCACATGAGTACAGGTGCCAGCAGAGGCCAGAGACATTGATTGGGTCCTTTGGAGCTGGAGTCACAGACACATGTGAACCACCTGATGTGGGTGTTAGGAACTGAACTCAGGTCCTCTGGAAGAGCAGCAAGTGCTCTTAACCTCTGTGCCGTCTCTCTAGGCCTCTCGTGGTATATTTTCATTACTGTAAGATTCAGAAAGCTAGCATTTTATTTAGGAATTTTGCATTTATGCTCCTAAAAGTAATTTGTTTTCATTCTGGTATTTTTCATATGTTATTGTACTAGCATTATAAAATGTGCTAGATAGTACTATTGTTTTAAAAATGAAAACACCAAACCTCAGAGGTAATAAGTTTCTTATCCAAGGACACCCAGCCATTAAGAGGTAGAACAAACTACTTAAAATATCTGTACTTAAAGCCAGCATTGACTACTGGACTCAGTTTATACACCTTGAGAGAGATGATGTCTTAATTAGGATTACTAATGTTCAGATGAAACACCATGACCAAAGTAACTTGGGGACGTAAGAGTTTATTTAACTTACATTTCCACATCACAGTTCATCATTGAAGGGAATCAGTACAGGAATTCAAAAAGGTCAAGAACTTGGAGGCAGGAGCTGATGCAGAGGCAAGGAAGAAGTGATGCTTACTGGGGTGCTCCCCTGGCTTGCTCAGCCTCCTTACTTATAGAACCCAGGGCCACCAGCCCAGGGATGACACCACCCACAATGGGCTGGGCCCTCCCTCATCAATCACTAAGAAAATGCCCTAAAGGTTTGCGACAGCCTGATCTTATGGGAGCATTCTCTTAATCGAGGTTCCCTCCTCTTGGATGACTTTAGCATTTGTCAAGTTGACAGAAAAGTATCCAGCAAAGACAGTGATATGGAACAACCTTCTGTCTTTGTACAAAATATGCCCTCTACTTCTTGTTTTCCTCCTTCTACTTCACTGGCCAACTATAACTCATCCTTCAGGATCATATCCCTTTATTCAATGGAGTCTTTTCTATGTCTTTCTCAATGCCCCAATATCCTAGTCTGGGTTTAGGAGTCCTTCCTCTGATCCCTCAGCATTATATACATAAAATAATAACATAAATCAGCATTCAGAAGTTTGTGAGGAAGAATGAAAATTTTAGAAAAGAGTGGATAAATAAGAGGAAAAGAGGCTAGGAATGAAAAGAATTGTAGGATTATATGCATTACATTAGTATTCTGTTCACTCTAACACAATCTAGAAACAAGAAACATGGTTGCTCCATCATATGTATATGAGAACACTATAATACCATTTAGATGCACTAAGACTGCTACACAAAACATAAGGAGAACAAACTATCAAAGTATGAAAGCTATAAACAAACTACAGTTTTCCTTTTACTTTTAAGGCTTTCTTTGTAAGCATACATTTAGCATTCTAGTTATACAAATTCTTTTATCTGTGTTAGACAAAATATAGGAAATAAGCTTGTGTCAGGCACGGGCATTGCCCTGAGGCAATCTAGAGAAGGCAAGGAACCAGCTTTCAAGGCCCTCATACACCAGTAAGGGCTAGAAATATACCTTAAAAGACAATTTTGCCTTTCACTTTATAAAAATGAATGCTGACAATAAGCTAACATCACTTTTCATAAACAGTCACAATAAACAAAACACAAATTACCTATGTAGAGTGCTGTTTCTTCTATATTTGTTTGGTTTTTCGACAGAGCTTTGCTATATAGCTCAGACTGGCCTTAAAATCCTCCTTCCTCAGTCACCTAAGTGCTTGGATTATGGGCATGCACCACCATGCCATGTCTGGCTGAGATTACTGTTTCTTATGTTTTTGCAAGGGTCTATCTTTCTTTTCGACTGAAAAAAGCCATTCTTTCTTAGTTATGTACTGAAGTGAGTGCTGAAGAAAACATGTGTCCAACAAAAAATGTTTCATGTGCTTTGCATAGCTCCACCAAGAAAACCTGTTGTGAGGAAGCAGTTGGATGGGGCACTCAAAGAGCATGACAAATGTCTAGAGAACACTATGTCCAGGCAGGCAGAGCCAATCAACTTCTGTCCTCTCTGGAGAAAGTTAACATGAGCTGCCAAAGGTTTAAGACATTGGTTCTGGTTCAGCAAATCTCCCATGCACTGAAAAGGCTCTTTTCCTGGCCCGATGAAATTGGGATCACTTGGGTTGACAAAACCAGCTGTGAAGTTGACAGCTGTTTCTCTCTCTCCCTCCTGCTTTGGGAGAGAATATGAGCTTATATTACTGTTTCCACCCACTTGCATCAGTGTCTGTGGCCCCAGAATACAGCACAGGGAGGTCTGTGTGGACAAGGTTTTAATGACTCTTTTGTACGTGATCGTGATGCTGCTGTCAGTAGGAAATGACACCTTTGCATACAGCAACATATGAGGGCCCTTCATGGGAATACTATGTTGCTTATTAAAAATGATGAAAAATTGAAAACAGAACAATAATTCAGGATTTTTTTTCTGTGATGGGAGTGATGGTAATGCTAGGTTTGCTCAACCCAGGGCCTCATGTATATGTCTTAGGGTTTATATTGCTATGATAAACACCATGAGCTTAAACAACTTGGGAGAAAAGGGTTTATTTTAGCCTATTGTTCCATGGCATAGTTCATCACTGAAGGAAACCAGGACTGGAACTTAGAGGCAGGAGCTGATCCAGAAATCATAAAGGAGTGCTGCTTACTAGTTTCCTCAGCATGCCTTTTTCAAGCATCCAGAATCACCAGTCCAGGGGCAGTATTGCACATAGTGAGCTGGGCTCTCACACATAAATCATCAATCAAGAAAATGAACCACAGGTTTGCCCATAGACCAGTCTAGTGGGGACATTTTATTAATTGAGGTCCCTTTTTCCAAAATGAC